GTGCACGAGCGACCAACTTCAGCGTTGGCTGCGATTTTGAAGCTGAAATCGCGTTCGGTGTGAACGCAGCATAAGGCTGCACCCACTGCAGTTTTCTAGCCGATCACCGATCTTTAAAAAGTGACCTGCCAATTCCGATTTTGGTCGATMCAAATYTTTTRAACAGCTGACACTGTCAGGTGTTATTTGATCAAAATACATCTTCAATGTTCCAATCCTATTTTATTGAAAAACACTGAACAATACCCTTGAAACAAGACAAACTTGTTTTAACTGGACATTAGGTAGTGCTYACAGCAGAGCAGAAGAGGACAGTGGCTGATTTTCAGACCTTAGCCGAGGTATGAGAAGCTAAACTTTTCCACTGATCTTATCCAAGTATCAGCCAATCTCCCATCTCCCAAAATTGAACACGGATGCTTTATCGGCGCACCCCTTGGTTCTATTCCTAAATAGTTAATCAAAATTTAAAAATACATGCCAAGCAAAAGCTTGGGACTCAGTAAAATAAAAGTGTCTGGCCAAGGAGGGGGGACCTACTGACCCCCACTGATGCTGGTATTAAAAGTAACTTTTCTAGGATCTTATTTTAGATACTTCAGTGACCCGTAGATATTGTATTCATTCATCATTTTTTGATAAAACTCAGTTATCAGTATACTATAATGTCTACGTACATCTCACCACAATACAAGCGATTTAATCCTTGCTTGGATGTGACAGGTCAGGGTCAAGTGTCTTACAGTGTCTCTAACTTTGATTTCAGCAGTTATTTTCACAGAAGGAGGTTTCGAATGAGGTGAACAAACCTTTTTGATTTGGCTCTTTGCAGGAACAAAGTCAGCTTGAAGTTTTAGGCAGCGGTGGAAGTGGATGAGGGCTTCTTTGTGCTGACCCATTTCCAGCAGCACATTCCCTTTACGAAAGAAGCCCTGCACAAACACAACAATCAGCAATCAGTGCGCCGCTGCCTGTGTGTGCAAAAAGAACAGCACCGTCTTCCTGYGTTATACAACTTCAGCAAAGTTCAAATGAATAATGTTTAACTCTTCTCCAGTTTTTTCTTCCCTTTTTTGTGCATCACTGTCAACTGAACGGAGAGGCTGTAAAATGTAACGTGACATTAACACAAAAACAGAATTGATTGTATGCACGCACTGTACTTTTCTCCATTCACGGTTCCAAAACACAGAATTAATAAGTAACGTGTGACATAAGTACCCGTTTGCATAACAATGTGCATGACATAACTACATAAAAGCTGAGAAAATAAAAGCTATAAAATAGCTCTAAATGGTTCTGCTTTTCTGCACCAGGACAGAATTTAAAGAGAGCCAGCCTGTTATTTGCAGTAAGTTACGTGTGTGCGATTACATTTATGTTATAAAAGCAGCCAGTGGGGTTTATTTCCAGGAAGCGCTTTGCACAGCAGAGAGCGACGGTGCTACTGATGACCAGATATCAACGTGTTTCTGCTGAGGAGATAACACAGTGAAGGATGTCGAAGTCTTGACATTTTAACTAACGTGCAAATGTTGAATAAGTCAGATGATTTTTTTTTTACTTTTAACTTCTGCATCAGCTTTCTTTTTATAAACTGCCTGGCCAAAAAAATAAAAAATAAAAAAACAGTCACCACATGGATTTATCTATGTTGTGGAGTAGCTGCAGGTGGTCAGGTTCAGCAACAGCATGAGCTCAAAGAATGGGGTCAGCTGACTAAATATACTGAAGGACCAGGTTATTCCATCAGCGGATTGTTTCTTCCCTGATGGCACGGCCATCTTCCAAAATGACAATGCCAGGATTCATGGAGCTGGAGTGGTTCAGGGAGCATGAGACATCATTTTCACACAAGGATTGGCTCCACAGAGTGCACTGAGAATCTTTGGGTTGTGCTGGAGAAGGCTTTGTGCAGCGGTCAGACTCTACCATCATCAATGCAAGGCCTTGGTGAAAAAGTAATACAACACTGGATGGAAATAAAYCTTGTGACATCGCAGAAACTTATTGAAACAATGACACAGCAAATACGTGATGTAATCAAAGCTAAAGCGAGWAAGTAAGTAAGTAAGTAAAGTTTTATTTATAAAGTGCCTTTCACAGAAAGGCGGTCCAAAAACCCCCACATTAAAAATGTTACCAGGACCGCCTTCTTCCACCTGCCTAATATCACTAAAATTAGAAATATTTTGTCCAAAAATGATGCAGAAAAACTGATTCATGCATTTATCACGTCTAGACTGGACTACTGTAATTCTTTATTATCTGGGCATCCAAAAAAAA